GCTGTCTCTTATACACATCTAGATGTGTATAAGATCTCTCTCTCTCCCTCGCCCCCCTTCCCCCCCCCACATGTTGCAAGGCAAGGCAAAGAATTAGGCCATGTATAAGAAACCAAACCAGCAATATGTCTCTCTCTCTCTCTCTCTCTCTCTCTCTCTCTGGCAAATGGGGTCGGTGCTTTATTGCTGGTGGAGTCCTCTCTCTTAGGTAAGTTGCCTTTTTCCCTCCACCCTTTTATGGATTATGAGATGTATACATGTATGTACTATGTATGTATATGTGCAAGTCTGCCGCATCTGCGGCAGATGGGTGTGTGGGCACTTGACGCTGAACCACACAAACCTGGCCAACCTTGCATTTTCTATTATACTGTCTATCAGACTCTCTATCTATACTTTTTCGTTATGGATGTTTTGTTATGATTTGTGGGCGGAATGAGAGAGTGAATTTGGGGTGCCTTTTGAAACACACACACACACACACACACACACACACACACACACACACACACACACACACACACACACTACGGCAACTGCTTATGGATCTCCCTCTTTCTTGTCAGACGAACAACGAACACAGCAGTCCGAGGAGGAAAGTAGACTTCTGTATGAACCATCGGCAGAGCGATGTGCTCATAGTTTATCACCACTAGGGCGAGCTGTTGCGGATCATATCCTGCAGCAGCTGAATGCCCTACCGATCCTCCCTGTCATCGTCTTCCCATAGAGAAGGAATGCATACTGAGGAAGCCCAAGAAAGATGCTCCATGCCGTTTTGTGATGACCCGCCGGAGATTCAACTAGCATGTGGTTCACATGCGTTGTGACGTGAGGATTATGAAGGTATAGCCCATGCGAGTTTTTGCTTCCATACATACGATGACAGTCAGTACTGTACTCATGTACGGCACCCCGACATGTCATGTCCAATTTGTAGACGGGCTGGAACGGCAATGCCTCTATAATTGCGGTCGACATGCCTCTGTGTTCCTAGCATGTACGAGCCACGTAGCCTGCGACATCTGTCTGCGCCCGTGCCATTCGATGCAGCAACTGTGAATGCGAAAATTGGATGTCGTGCTTCCATAGCCCACACCTGAACCGGTCCTGTCCGGTCTGCAGGGGTGGCCATTCGCCATAGTTTTTTTTTTTTTTTTTTTTTTTTTTTTTTTTGGCTAAAGTAGTCTCCTTCAGCAGTGAATATTTAGAAATCTGTGAAACCCGTCATACACCTTTCCCCTGCTCTTTGCATGTCATACTGTATCCTGCTCTCCACATATTTCTTTCCTTCCCGTTGCCCCTACCTCCCCTGCCCCATACTCCTAGAGAACTCCACCTTCTATCCCTTACCCTCCACCCTCCCCTCCACTCCCTTTGTACTACAAACAAATACATACGAATGGGTCGGGACTCCGGTCCCCTGTCACAAGAGGCTACGTTGCTCATCCCAGTTCGTAAGCGAAATGAGAAATGGGAGGTGAGATTGTCTCCAGTGGAGGATGGTAGACAAGGGGGGTTTACGATACAAGGCTGGTCATCGTTCTGGGCGGACCCAAAAAATAGTCAGACCGACACTGCGGCCTGAATTCTGCAGATGCAGCTGGAAGCATACATTGCAGAAAACTTACCGCCCGGGCCGCAGGTCGTAGCTTCGATTACGACCAGACCTAACAAAATAGCACAACGGGATGTCTATATAGTATATACGGTTTGGCCCAACCAAGGAGGCAGGGCTGAGATGGTTCACCCATGCCCAACTATTGAACCTGCAGACATTCAGGATAGGTCACAACACTACCTGGACTGAACAAGACGCCCAGAAATGTTTGTGTGCCCTCCTCCGGCTAGACTCCTTGGTGGGAACAGCGGATTGGGGCTGGGACCAGCTGCCATGGTCCCGTCTGTAGTTACAAGAAACATGGTAACGACAATAGAAACAACATGAACAATGCATGTAATTTGGACCCGGTCAGAGCAGTATATGGGCATGACCGCATCTGAAACCAATGCAGGAGAGTCGCAGACCTGGATCTGCGGTCTCTGAATGTGAATGGCCTGGCCTCATGCAAATTCGAGAAACAAAATGCAATTTGGGATTTAATGAGAGGGGTGGGAGGTTGAAACTGGCCAGATATAGTGTGCGTCCAGGAAACACACCTGATGAACACCCCGGAGCACAACCGCACCCACAAAATGATCTGGCCATACAAAGCCTTCAGGGCTCATGCCCCGAGACCAGGTAGTGCAGGGGTGGCCATCTGGATCCCCCCCGAATAACGGGCGGACCCGGTACACTGGGTGGTCGATCAGGAGGAAGGTCGATGGGTGTCTATCCTAGTAATGTTGGAAATCAAAATTCTATGCATAGTGTGTGTTTACGCCCCTAACATGGTGAGCGAGAGGAGAACCTTCTTCGATAATCTTAAGACACAAATTCCGGATGGGGTGCCGGTCATCATAGCAGGAGACTGCAATGCAACCCCGGATCGGTGGATGGATAGATGGCGGACGCCCTCTTCCCCCCCGGCGTACGTAGAAGAGGATGAACGGATAATTAATGACTTGTGTCTCTCACTAAAAGTATTCGACTCCTTCCGCAAATTAAATCCAGATACAAAGTTTTATTCATGTCTGCGAAAGACTGGAACCAAGAGCATACGAGATCTCGGATCGACTTAATCCTGATCAAAGAAGACATGGAAGGTGCGTTACTCCTGGCAGTTATCTTGCCCGCTAGCCCATATCCGGGCATTGATTATAAAATGTGCACGGTCATTCTATCTTTCCAGAAAAAAACCGACTGAGGACCGGGTTTCTACAAACTCAATACAACTATCTTAAACCAAAAACTCTTTCAAAGTTATATTAAGGATTGTTGGACATTCTGGCACACGCAAAAACAAAACATTCAGCAGGAAATTGACTGGTTTAACAACGACCTATTCTATCTGGCACACGCAAAAACAAAACATTCAGCAGGAAATTGATTGGTTTAACAACGACCTATTCTATCTGGGTAAAAAATGCCAAGAATATTCCAAAACACTAGCAACTAAAAAAAAAAAACAGGAGATGGAAATCCATAAAAAATTGCAACAATTGGAACAACAAGATCTATCCAACAGCTCACACAATGACCAACATATACAACCAGAAGAGGAGTCTGAGGCACAGAGGCTGCAACAACAACTCCAGTCCTTTGTCACACAAAGGTGGGAGGGTACACGCATAAGAGGAAGATTTACGAAATTCCAAGCAGAAGGAACAATGGATAAAAAATTCTTTAGTATAGCCCGAGTCCGTTCACGCAGAACAACCATAGAAGCACTATACGACCCGCGGTCTGGACACCGGGACATTGTCACCTCCTCCCCCCACTGCACGCAGATAGCTAGATCCTTTTTTAAAGACTTGTTCACCTCAAGGTGTACCCAGCGGGAGAAGAACGTTAGGGAGAAGGAAATAGAGGAGATTTTGTAACCATTGGGGAAGACCATGATGAGCCAGCAGAAAACAGACCTAGATCGCCCCCTATCCAAGGAGGAAATCTGAACGACGATGATGCAGATGGATGAAGAGAAAACGCCAGGTATAAATGGGTTTCCTAAAGAATTTTGGGAGGCTTTCTGGGCCTTGATGGCTTCGGACCTTATGAATTTTTATCATCAGGTGTGGGAAACAAGACGGATGGGGGAGTTGGTAGGACAAGGCGTTCTGACCTTGTTACGTAAAAAAGGGGACAAGATGGATATCAGGAATTACCGCCCGATAACTTTGCTCACAGTCGTTTACAAAATGCTTGCAAAAGCTCTGACAAATCGTCTAATTCCGGTCTTGGATGACATTATTCACCCGACGCAGACCGAGTTTGTCAAAGGACGCATGATCCAGGATAATATCCTGTTAGTCAATGAGATTCTTACACTAACAAGGCAAGACAAGCGAAATGTCACCATAGTCTTCATCGACTTTTAAAAAAAAAACGTATGACCATGTGGATTGACTTTTTTTGGACAAATGTATGGAGAAAATGAACATCGGACCAGACTTCCGGCACTGGACTGGTATACTCCATAAAAATGTTGCAACGAGTGTCGAGGTTAATGGTAGAATTGCACCATCCTTCCAGCTGCAACGGTCAGTCCGCCTAGGGGACTCTCTGACCCCTTTCCTCTTTATAATAGTAATGGAGGCGCTGGCAGCAAACCTTCGCGCTAACAAAGACCTGAAGAAGTTGCAGATCTCGAACATCCCAGATGACGCGATCCTTGTTTGCTCGTTGTTCGCGGATGACCTAACCCTCGTGATTGACACCACTGCAACAAACATGGAAGAAATTAAGCGGCTCTTCGACCAATTTACAATGGTCTCAGACATGACCGTCAATTGCGGAAGCAAAACCTTGGGATGATGGATCCACCATCAAGGGGTGCGCCCCCCAGAGTCGCCACAAGTGAAATGACTTCCGGAAACGGCCCCAGTTAGAGTGCTAGGAATTATGTTGACGGCTTTAGGAAAGCCCGCATCAAATGACGAATGGATCCTTAAGCCCGCCCTAGAGAAACTGGCTCGCTGGAAAGACCAACACACCTCCCTTATAGGCAGG